CTGCTTGCCTTTGCGGCCCTAACCCTCCGTTGTTGCTGCTGTCTCTCCCTCTGCTGGCAGAACAGGTGTCTGTCGCCCTCTGGTCCTAATGTCAAGTGGGCTTTGGGGCGTCTTGTCGATCGCAAGATCCTATCATCCGCTTGTGGAACCTCCCTGTCACTCATAGGCTACAACATTGTACACTGTCTGCACTAGGACACTCTCGAGGCCTACCGCAGCATGATGTACAGACCAATTTAAAATAAAATAAAATAAATAATCGGTGGCTATGTCAGAGACTACACATTTGGGTCCAACAGATAAGTTCAAATTCCTACAAACAAAACTATTTCTACTTCGACTAGTTCACAAACAGAAAGCACAGTGAACAGAGAACAGTTCTTACTATGTTGTCTGTCAGATGTTAATGGTTGTACATCTAACTAATCAAAATGAAAATAGAATCATTTGATTGGCTGTTTGCAGAGTGGAATCTTTCCCAAACTTATCACCTGGAATCTACCCCTCCCTCAGCTCTTCCTGAATGTCTCTTGTCGTCAGCTTCCCTGAGCAATCCGGAACAGCGTGCGTGTCTAAAGGTGTGCACACGGCCCACCCCTGTGGCCCGAGTCCTGCTAAGCTGGCCAGCCCTGCACAATATTTATCCTCTCATGCAGCGAGCCTTACACCGACCGATTGGCTGATCAGGAGGCGTTTTGATGGACGACCCCCGAAGTCCTTAGGAATTATTTAACGTCGCAGACAGGACGACGATCACAGCCAATGGAAGGTCCCCGCCGGTACTTATTTATAGACGTCCGGTACTCGTCTTTCCTGTAGGGCTGGCCTGCCCCTCATAACCCATCTATAGCGTAGCGAGCAGACGAAGGACAAAGCAGCAAAGCATGCGTGCTCTACTCCCAGTGGGTTGGCATGGTGACCGTGACCCAGTGCTTCGTCCAAGGCCCTTCAGATAGCTCCGCCCTCTCCTTCCAGATGCTCCACGTGGACACTAACGACTCTCAAGATTGAACGCACTCGACTCCTCACATGAGAGGACTCTCAAGACAGAACACACATCCTCACGGTAAGAAGTGTCGAAGAGGGTAGATAAGGTTAGGTGCAACGTACCTCAAAATAGCTGCCCCCAACCACATATATTCTCACCAAATGACCTGATGCTGATTGTGATGACCAATCGCTGCTTCGGCATAACCAGCATTACACTATCGTTCCACCTCAGCATCAATCGCACATCAGATAGTTCTCATCACACTGCAAACACCCAATAATTACCACTTACCCTTCCTGGCGATACCCCTCTCCACCTGGGTCGCCTGCTTGCCTTCGCCCTCCTCACTACACACTCCCCACGGCAGCTCCCCCAGCATACCGCATGCATGTACCGCATAGGCAGAAGACATGTGCCAGATTAGCGGCCCGTACCACAGCTCCGATACCAAATTGGAAGGAAAATGAGTGATAGCGAACTTCAGAAACCAAGCAGCATACACATGAGACCAGATAGTCGTGACCTCGAACCAAAAGCAGAATTGCATCACGAGTCCCACCAAATAAGAGCACAGCAAAAGCTCATAAGTGACAATGTTCGAATAGTCTCATCATCAGCAACAAAGAACCAATGTCGACATCCTATCTGGCGCTCAGCGCCCAGACTACAAATGGCAGATCCTATCTAGCCTATCTACAATGCCGCTGATGACGTCAACAGCTCCCCGAAGTACGAGCAGATCTCGGCCATTGCAGTTCGCCTCAAGCACCAGGTATGTCTCTCGCCCCAAGGACCACCATGCGCCCCATCCAGCATGCATCAGCGCAGCTCGGCTATGGCTGCCTGCCCCTTCCAGCTCGCCCGTGAGCGCGTGAGCGCTAGCCAGCGTACAGCGCAGCAGCGCTTGCGCAGCATGCAGCCAGTGCCCGAATCAGGAATGTGTGGGCAGGCACGTTCCTAAATGGAAATTGCCTGCCTGCTGCGTGAAGCCTGGCTGCGCTAGTCCCCTGCCCAGAAGCTTCCAGTAGGCCCCGAGAGGCTGTGCCCCAGTCCACACGAATCAGGCCCTGGGCCTCTGGTAGAGCCCCGTGTCCAACTGCCCTCGGCCTGTGTTCGGTCCATGTTGCGTATCTGTCCCAGGGCCTGCCTCAGTTACATACGAAAAAGGCAGCCTGGGCCGAGTGTTCTCAACCAACTGGCACTGCCCAACTGCCTGAATTTGCCCAGTTGCGCGGTGAACCCAAAATTAGGCGTACTGGCCCTGGGTCGAGCCTGTCTTCACTTAGGGCGGCCGACTGTACAGAAAATAGGACCCAGTAGGGCAGATCGAGGCCCTGAGCCTCGCACGAGCAAAACAACAACTCTTTCACACACGACAAGCTAACAACTCTTTCACACACCACAAGCTGCCATGAATGTACTCATACCTTCTTTCTTTTGGGGGCGAATCTGCAACAGGTCGTTCGGTTATAGTTTAGATGGATCAGATAGGATTTGAAAGGATTCGATAGGATCCAATAGACAAATAGATAAAGTGGATAGATAGATTAGACGATGATGTAAGATTATAGTGCTATAAAGATTTGATGTATTATTGACAAATTAGTTAGATAGTGACAAAGAGTAGAGGGACAAATAGATTGACAGAGTAGACAAACTGATGGATGGACATAGCGGACAGACAAATGGATGGAAAGAGTAGACAGATGTATAGACAGAGTGGACAGATGGATGGACAGATAGATAGAGGACTGATTGATTGGTTGATTAACTGATTGATAGAGAGATTGATTAGAAGAGGAGAATAGAATACAAGAGAAGAGAACGTAAGAGAAAAGAAAATAGAAGAAAGAGATTATAAAAGAAGGTGCAGATAAGAGCAGAGCAGAGCAGAGAAGAGGACAGGAGAGAAGAGGAGGAAGAGAAAAGTAGAGGTGAGAAGAGAGGAGAAGCGAATGCAAGAAAAGAGAAGAGAGGAGCAGAGGAGAAGAGGAGAGGCGAGTGGAGGAGAGGAGAGAAGAGGTGAGAAGAGAAGAGGTAAAAAGAGGTGAGCAGAGCAGAGAAGAGAAGAGGGTGAGAAGAAGTGAGAACATGTGAGAATAGGTGAGAAGCAAAGTGAAGAAAGAGAAGAGAGGGTCCACAGGGGCCAGGCGGCTCGCCAGAACATAAGGAGGTTCAGATTTTGCTGAGGGGTGGATCGGGGTTTTGAAGGAGCTAGATCCTTTCTTGGTAGCCAGGTTTTATACGGCAGGTCTCTATAACAGACCTGAGAGGAAAGGGTATAGCAAGGCAAGCTGACAGTCAATCCTCCATATAGATGGAGCAATCAATGCTGGTCAGGGGTCCTTCGGCCGCACGGAAGGAAGCGTGTGTATGTGATTACGTTGTATCCTTGAATAGGAACCGGACTGATGCTCCCCAGAATGGAAAAGGAGCCAGGCCCATAAGGTCCTGTTTCAAGGGGGTGGGGGGAAAGAAAAAAAAGAAAAAAAAAAGAAAGAGAAGAGAAGAGAAGTGCAGATAAGAGAAGAGAACAGAAAAGCGAAAAGAAGAGAATGTGAGAGAAGAGGAGAGGAAACTTAAGAAGACACTAGGGAAGAGAATGTAAAATAAGATAAGATCAGATAAGAGAAGAGAAGAGAAAAGAGGAGGGGAGAGGAGAGAAGGAGAGGAAAGGAGAGGAGAGGGAGAGGAGAGGGAGAGGAGAGGAAAGGAGAGGAGGAGAGGAGAGGAGAGGAGAGGAGAGGAGAGGAGAGGAGAGGAGAGGAAAGGAGAGGGGAGGAGATGGGATTAGATATGATAAGCTTGACAAAAGGAGTAATTGGCACCACAATCATGTGCTAAGGGGAACATTTCTGAAGGATATTTCTTAAAACATTGAACATACCACCATGACTTTTAAGAATTACAACAGATTTAACAACCTCAATACGTAACCCTTTGCCTTCGATCCTTTTTCACCCAAGGGCTCCCCTGCTTTCCGCTTTTTTCATTTTAGTAAGTGCTTTCTCTATTCCTAATAAGAAACCCGGCATAGCTTGCCTGAATTCGGCGCTGCCAAAACATGTCAATGCATTTCGTCCGTTGGAGAAATCAACTCCATGCGAGGTTGGCACGCTCATGCATGCATGTTTTGGCTCAGAAACAGCTTGGTGGCCTTGCCACCTGGACGTCGTTTCCTACCACATCCCCTATGGTAGAAACAGGTATGAACCCCGTCCAGCCACTGTGATTGGCTCCAGAATTTCCCAACCAATCCCCCTCAGGCCAAAACCAAGGGTGCTATCCAAATTTCCCACTTTCCTGTCATGCCGTCTTCCGTTCTAGATGAATTGGTGTTGCATGCCGATTGCGCAGAAGAGCTGAGAATGTGAGAATTACAAACGGTCATTGCATGTGTGGCCAAAAAGTTCAGGCAGGAAAAGGGGACTCAATCATCATCTCTCACCAGCCCGTTGAGGTGTTATGTTGCCAAACCTGGGGCCCGGCAACTTCATCCCACAAAGAGCTGGACATGCCTGGGAGACAGGCTCTTGTTGTGGCACTACATAGTCATCAGATACCACTTACTTGGGACCTTGGTGTTCAATGTTCATGGGATTTCCTGTCTTTTCCCCAGCCACAGGTTGCAATCAGGTCACAACCACCCTGAGAAGCTCAAGCAAGCACCAGAGAATGGGCTCCCTGATAAGCAGTTGAAAAAGAAGTGGGTTACATGGAGGAGCCTTTGAAGGTCAGAGGGCCAAGCTTCCAATGACGACAACAATGATGAGGAAGAAGAAGAGGAAGAAGAAGGAAAAACCAATGTCAAGAATGGACAACACAACAAGCATTTGATGAAATTTTTAAGCACTATTACTTCTCTATTGATAAAGAGAAAGGAGACTCTTCTAAAAGACTAAAACATAAAAGGTGTGGGCTGTATGATCAGTGTTTCCCTGTCTCTAGGAACACTGCCATCTCACTTCTCTCATTGAAACACCTTTCCTTTCTTCTGTTCTGACTACAGGTTGATACTGCAACCATGCTCGATGAAGCTATCCAATATGTCAGGCGGTTGCAAGGGCAAGTGCAAGTAAGTCCTCTCAATGGCCTGATCCCAGAGGAGACCATTGTTCCCTCTTCAAGCAACAAAAGCAATTCTAATGTACTAAGAATTGCGGAGAACTATTCATCCAAGTTCCAGATTTCCTATTCCTTAGCACTGATGTATGATGAAATTTGCGACAAAGTCAGCACTTAAACCCAAACCATGCCGTCTGAAGCTAAATTGATGAACCGAAATATGCATTTTGCCAAGCCTAAAAGTGACCAGTACCGGGCATCGAAAAAATCAAGGCCATACTCATACTGGCCTCTGTATTATTGAAAAGTCTAGGGCTCCCACAACATTCTGGGGTCTGAAGTTACGATTTAATATTTATCAACTGCTCTACCGACCGTAGGTCAAAACTCACGGACGCTACTGGCAGTACTCGTACACGAAAAAATGGATGAACAGTAAATTCGGATGGACTGGTGGCTCAAAAGCTCCTCCATGTGATGCACTTCTTTTTCAACTGCCTCCCATTCACTCGCTGCCCGCTCCCACTTCCTTCTAGCTTTTGCTTTGGCACAAATTCAAGCCCTTTTTCACTTATTGTAGAAAAGGAAAGCTAGGATGTTTCCCCATCGCAGTCCAGTTTATGTTACTCCATTTGGAGAACTCGGACTCCTTTCCAATATGCCAGCCCTCCTAGCATGTTAAAAGAATCCTTCTATCTGTGACAGCACACACACAAAAGGGGGGTCAGGAGACCTGGAGAGGGAAGAAACAAGCGAACAGGGAAACGTCAAAAAAATATATATATATATATATATTGTGATGATATATATACAGGGTAACCGGCGTTCGGGACGGGCCGAACGCCCGAACCCGAACGCCCGAACGTATGGGACCCCTTGGGGATGCGTTCGGCCGTTCGGGCCGA